AGAATTCCCCAGCTAGCATGGCTGGCTGGGGAATTCTGGGAGTTGAAGTCCACACATCTTCCAAGCTGCCATGGTTGAGGAACACTGTATAGTACTGTACTTCAAATTGGTATGCAGTCATAAATCACTTTGCAAATGTGAAGTCCAAACTGGAACTTGTACAGTATCTTTATACATGGTTACATGCTGTACAGACAATCTAAGAAAAGGCTCTTTCATTCTACACTTCACAGTGACCAGGAAAATGAAAGAATCCTGTTCATTGAATGTTTAACAGATAGGAAAATATCTTCATTTAAGCAACATAAAAAGGGTAAACAGCATTTCAAAACAGTTACAAGGTTAGAGTGAAGATTGGTTATTGTTTAAAGAAAACTTCTAGCACACACGAGTTCCTGAAAAATGGAAGCATTATTCTGCAAAGCAAATTGCTGCAATAAATTAGAGCTGAATTATTCTGCAAAGTATGTAATAGGTTTACTTACTGAATGTTCAGAAAAAAGGATCGTGTTTATTTTGAGCACTGTAGGTGGCTAACAATCCTAAATTATAGCATTCTAATACTAAATTGCTTATACCCAACTGAATGAAAACAAAGCATGTGTGTCTGCCACCCAGTATTTACCCCCTCCCCATCAAGCCTTAAAAATCAACCATGATTAAAAACAAAATTAAGTCAAAAACTTAGTCTGGTTTGATACTGATAGCATTCAGCTTTATTTTAGGATTCTTTTACAACTCTGATGCAATTGTTAGTGCATAGATTGTGGTACACAATTAAAAGAAGCAATACAAACTGACATATTTCTACACATGAGAACAGGAAGAACAACTTACAGAATAAAATCAGCTTCGCAGGTGGCCAGCATCTGGGCAGACCGAGTTAAACAGTTTCACTCCCTGCGGTAGCTGTACATTTTTTCTTGTCCCGAATGAAAATTACATCTTTTCACAGAAATGATCCTTTTCTATTACTTTGAAGATTCAACGGATTTATGTACAAGAGATATCTAACTTTTCTAGCTATAGTTCTTTATATGTGCATAACACAAAAATAACTGCACCCGTTCTCATGTTCACAAAGCAGTTACATTTGGAAACTGACAATGAACAAGCTGTATTTCAAGTTTTTCCTAACTTTTGCCAGTTCCATTTCCAACTTCAAGCAAATTTAGCATCTTAAGGCAAAGTGATATTCTTTCATTCTGAATAGCTAACTTTGTAAATTCTACAGACTGGGAAAATTCTGGAGTTGGAGGCATTTCTTTAAGAAGCTGTGTCACAAGTTTGGCCTGATCTGATGCTAACCTTGCCAACTGATAGAGTTTTCTTTGCTCACATGGACTAACATGAGTCACTGGTATGAGCAGAAGGAGATGTTTACTGAGCTGACGCACCTCCGTTAACTTCTCAGCCCAAAAGTTTGCTTGTCCTTTGTCAAACAGGTAGTCATTTCCCATCTTCAAAAAAAGAAAACAATATATTTACAATTGCCTAGGCCAAATAAGCATGCAAGAATATTCATATGATATGCCAGCAAACAAATCCTTGTTAGATGTGCAGTGCAATCAGACTGTACTATAGTTGTTCACATTTGAACAACAGAATAAAATCAAGCACCCCTTTGTTCATGAAACCAGGAGAAGAATAATACCTACTCCTTGCAACCTTTCAAAATTTGCTTGCTAAAATGGGACATCCCTTAGCATGGATGGATGGCAGGGGTGGATTCATTATGCAACAATGAACACGCTTTCTTTTTTACAATGAAATGATACCTTGGGGGAAATCATGGTAAGAGAGTTGGAAGTTATGATACAGAAACATGAGATATGAATAAATATTCCAGTTCATAGCTTTTTACTGTTTGCACATTCCTAAACATAATCCAGAAGTGAGTGTGCAATATTTTTAAAGAAAAAAAGGAAAAAAACCAATATCTCTAAATACAATATCATAAATATGAATTAACTCTTTGCAATAGCAAAGAGAAATCAGGTGATTATAACAATATTCTCAGTCTCTCCACATTTAGATAAATGTTTGTTTTAATTAATTGGACACCAAGAAGACAGTGCTGTTTATTGAGTTGAAGAAAGCTATCCTTTATTCAAATGTGTATGTATATAAATATTATATACATTATTTATATAAATTATTATATTTATTTTAATAATTATTACATTATTTATATATTTATATACATATGTATATAAAGTAATATCTTATGCTTTATTTTCTCTCCTGATGTAAAAAAATTATCACAAGGAATATGCATGCAAAAGTGAATTACTCAAGATTATGGAAATCCTTTACCCGCATGCTGTTCATATTAAAAGGAGACACTCCCTAGAAATACTTCATGGAACCTGAATTATTTAAATAATATAAGTCAAAAGTTGCCCTAAATCTTAGGGCCTAAGATATGCCTGCTTGAGTTATGCTAACTTGGCCAATTCTTGTATTTCAAAGACCCCTATTTAATCAGCATGTTAGTTTAACATGTCAGGAATATTTAGAATGGTTTTTTTTTAGAATTAAAATTACAGAAGTGTGATTTTAGTGCAAAACAAAAACAAATCAAGTAGGCAGGTTAACTGATAGCCTTATGTTAAATTTCACAGTACATTCCTGTAGAAAGCTGCTAACAATTTTTTTGCCTAATATTATTGATATAGTGGGCCTTTAAAAATCCAACTAATTCAAAAGAACTATGGATTTTAACTATTAAGTATCCAAACCTACAGAGTATGACTTACATGGCCCTACTGAATTAGTTTAATCCAATGTAATTTGACAGGTCAGGATGGAAGAACCATCATCAGTCTGAGATTATTAACTTTGGTCATCCAAGTCTCGATGTTAATTAAATTCATAGGTGAATGATACAATAATTAAAATTGTACTCTGCTAATGATGAAAGCTAATTTTAAATGGAAAAATGGTTTTCATTGTTAATACTGGCTTTAAACCAGTTCCATATTTTAAAATAATGCCTCTGAGTAATATAGTAAGAAATCTGGGAAAACTGACTTACGGCAATTGTAGACTTTAGATCTTTCAAGTCATCTTCTTTTAACAGCCACTCTAGTAAGACTGAAACTCCAGCACCAGTCTGTCCCCATAGCTGTAGCAGTTCACAAAGTAAGGAGAACGCTAAATCCAAAGCTAAGGCTGCATTTACTACATGGAAATCAAGTTCTGCTGAGAGAAATTAGAGATAAATAGTGAAATGTACGTAATCATATGTATTTAAATAGTACAGTACAATTATTAAAATGCAAATTCAATATGCATCTATTTATTCTGAATTAATTTTAAAAATTGCTTACATCATTAACATTTCAAATATTGTTTAGACTCAACTGATAAAAGTCTGGCCATCTACTTTGGGTCTTCCTCTTATCCATAGTTAACCTGCACAAATGTGGGTACAGTTCACAGTATAACATCTGAATGCTGACTGCATGAGTACATTTCAGAATGCATAGGTAAAAATTGCAAGATTTATTTCTCTATTTCAACTGGGAAATCAATTACTTTTTTCCATGGAAGTGTACCCCTGCACTCGTTAAAATCCCTGAAACCCTTCCCAAAACAGACCGTGCCTCCTTTTGGAATATAGTCCCTCATCACATCAAGAAAAGTATAATGTGGTTCTCAAGCTGACAGAGGTTGTACACCTTGCTGTGTGTAGCAGTGCTATGTTTATTTGCACAGTCAATGAGAAAACCTTGGTTGCCAGCTACATAGAGACATAAACCTACATGAAAAATTCAAAAAAGCAGATCAAAAGGGAGGGGTGCTGTAAAAAGTTGTAATGGATCATTCAGTATAATTATAAAATGTTGTCTTGCTCATCAGTTTTCAGAATTGTAAATAATATGAATTCTAACATATTTAATCAGTTAACCCTAGAAGGCATCTTTTGCTTCTTCAACCAGGAATTACATGGAAAGTTTAAGGATATATACTTTATGCTTACTGATTTTATTTGATGATTCTTATTTTTTAAAGTATTTTAAGTTTTAGGACAAGTGCTTTTATAAAAGATGGGAACTACAGTATTTTGAGTCATCCTCTTTAATCCATTTAATGTACAACTAGCCTCCCACTCATGTACTCATTTACAAGAAGACTTTTAATCGTGCCAGATATAAATATTTCTCTTGTAGACTATTATACACAAACCTTTTTTTCCCTCATGAATATATGAAGAAGTTACTTCCAACTTTACTGACTAGTCATATTTAAACATTAAAATATATTAAAATGGACAACACCAACAGCCACTATACCAGGCTATACCAGAAAGCCATTGAGATTCACAAACACCAGCACAGTTTCAATAAAAAAGAGGAGTGTC